TCAAAAACACGAAAACATTATTCTCCAGCTGTAAGTTGTAATTCATGTTGAAGTCTTGCTCTGGTCTGAGAAGAGACGCTGTGAAAATGGTATTGTGGGGTTCCTCCTTTGCATCTCAGTGACTGAACTTGACATACACAGAAACAAAACAGGAAAAACAATGTATGTATGTGGGTAAGCGAGGTCTGTAGCTTTATTGATTCAATGAATTGATCAGCCTTAAAGAGAATGTTAAACCACCCTGATGGCTAGCCAGCAGACTCCAGCAAGCAGCCCTTCAACCACCCTGCGTTTCTCATCGGAAGGAGGAGATACAGCCATCCGTGTCCTCTGTCACCTGCCCTTCAGGGCAAACTCAGGGACTCGCTTGCAGCAGACCAAAGCCCTGCCTGTGTTGGACACCTCTTCCCAACATACCCAATGTGCTGTTTTACAAACTCTGTCTATGCCGTAACCCAGAACTGTCTCTTACAAATACACTGACACGATAACTGGACTTTCTGGCAGCTGGCATGTAGCTGAGGGGGGAGAAAAAAGTATGGTATTGGCCAGGTTTGCTTTAAGGAAAAACTGCCATCCAAACCCGAAGGGGTGATTAGCCCCAGCCTGAGCAAGGCAGTCAGAACTGGTAGGACAAAGCACAGGAATATAACCATAATAAAAGAAATGAAGCCCCATCTCTGGAGGCATAGGGTTCAGCACCTATCGGCATCCTGTCGTGCTCCTGATGATCAGTCCGAAGCTTGGAGAAGGGAAGGAGAAGCACAAAGACCTTGTGCAATGAAACGCTTCAGCACCGAACCCAAAGGAAGGAGGACGGGGGGGGCTGGTTACCTTCCTCCTCGCTGCCTGCTTCCAGCACACCACTGATGAAGGAGGTTAAAACGAAGCCCGTAGTTGCTCTTCCTCCACTCCGGCGCCTGCCCACTCTGCAAGCTGTGATGGGCTGTTCAAAGTTTTCAGGCTCCTAACTCCCTGGCGTGGCTGCCCACAGGCCTCCCTCGCGCTGCCCGCCATGGCTGTGAGCGGCCCACGCTGTGCTCCGTGGAGGGATGCAGGAGACGCGGCTCCCTGACGCAGCAGGGACTGCGCGGGGTCACGTCGGCAGCTTTTCTAGTCCAGCGTCCTGCCCCCGCCCCAGTCAGGCATCTTCCTCTGTGGTACAAAATCAGGGAGCGACGTCGGGCTGAGGTCCTTGGTTTTAACTGAGGCAGTAAACAGTTTGCACGTACTCATACCTACGGGTTTGCTATTTCATTTATCCGATGGCCTGCAAGGGGGAGCGTGATCGTCTTGAATGCTGGAGAGCTGCAGGGCACCTGTTCTTCAAATACCGTGGGGAGGACAGATGGCAAGGAGAGGGAGAGACCACCTGGACCCTCGTGGCAGCAGAAGAGCATGTATTGAGGGAACGGCGCGGGCTGCGTGTTCTGACGTGATGATACGTGTGGTAACCCGTGGGGAGAAGAGGTGCTGCACGCACCTCAGCAGTGCTGTCTGCAGAGGAGGTGGCGGTAGGGTCCCCCTCTCCACAGGGAGCGGGAGCGGGTCGGCCTGCTTCCCTGCTGTGCTCTGGATGCCATCTTACTGATGAATGCAGATTATCCAATTGTATCCAAATATTTCTCCCCATCTCTGAAAAAAAAAAGCTAAACCAAGACAGCAAATATAGGGACTGGACTGGCGGTACCAAGTTGTTGGCTTGTCAGCGTTTTGGCTGTATCTAGCCCCACATTTCATTATTTAAGATTTGGTTTTGGTTTGTTTGTTTTTCTTTTCTTTTTTTTGCTTATTTTGACCCTGAATGCAGGTGCTTTCAACCTCTTGACAATCCAGAGTGCAGTTGCTCTGGATAACACATTAAAGACACACATGCTGTGAGTCTGACGTGTTTTTAGCATTGCATCGGAGCCCATGCAGGTCTGCCTTACTTAGCAAACATCAGCAGCAGCAGTCACATGAGAAGCCTGATAATAAATCAGTTGTGAGGGTCAAGAGCGGACATCACCACCTTGCAGTTCTGCTGAAATTCCAGTTTAACCACTGAGGTATGAGAGTTGTACAAGGATGGAAAAGCGGGAGCAAGCTGAAACTCAGCTTTATTTTGGTGTTTGGAAGAAACACTGAAAAGGTGTAGATTTTGTTTATTACTTCGGCATCTGCACAGATTTGGATGTTGTTTTCCCATCCATCTTTCACAGAACCAGATTTTAGAAGCAGTTTCCCTGAACATGGAAAACACAAGTATTGTCAAGTATCTTCTGTGGAAGCTCACTTGTCAAATCTTAGGCTGTCTGGTTTCACCGTGTAAAAGCTGAGGCAGGATAAAATGCTGCACGGTGCTTCCTACCTTGCTCAGCACGGACATGTTAGCAAATTCACCTCCAAGTTACGGTGCTTTCTTTTTGCTTTTCCCAGAAGGGCCAGGCTAGGTACAGCAAGGCAGTGACAATGCTAACGTGCTTTCTTCTCCTGTTACTCAGTCTCATCCCTGGCGTTTCTTTGTCGTAGTTTAACAGATATTTGTTGGGTTTTTTTTAGTGGCTTTCTCGGCAGTATTCCCCAGTAGACTCTCAGGTAATCGTGGAACCAGTGAATTGTTTTGCACTCTGCTTAGCAGCCTGGCTGGTGTGTACCACCTGTAGCAACTGCTGGGTGAAAATCACACGTGCCCTTTATGAACAGCCAAGGAATTCAAAAGCATAGGCAGTTTTCTGAGCATCTCTAGATAGGCTTTCAAGTGGCAATTTTGTTAGAAAGGAAACAAAATGCTGTCTTCTGTTTTTTTAATTTATAGGGGCCACCTTAAAATTTTCCTGTGGGACAAGGGAGGCTGGAAACATTCTCTGTTTTGAAGATCTCTTATTCTTGTATATAAGTTCATGACTTTGGGAGGTGGGTCATTTAGAGCACCACCAGGTTAGGGCACACTGTTCTGTCACGGCAAATAATACTTTGTGGAAGGGTGCACACTATGTCTTTAAAAATGTAGCCTGGGGGAGACGATGGAGAGTTCTTGGCAGAAACTTTCGCATGAAGCAGTGTGATAGAGCAGCCAGGGAATATATTGCATGCTAATAAAGTTCCTTCTTCAGTGTGAAAAGTGCATGCTTTGTGAGTGGCAGCGGGTCTTTTTTTACCTTTTGACATTCTAACTTGACCCATAATGAGGCATCCACCAGCACGCCTTTTCAGTCCTTTCCAAAGAGCTGCCAAAACTAAAGAGATTTTTTTGAGAATAATCTGTGACCCAGCAAGGTTGGCTGTAAGGTTTGTTTGTTTTTCTCTCTCCCGCTGGTTCCTACTATTCTCTTACTCCCACATCCTATCCGACTCATGTTTTCAAATGCATTCTTCAGCCTTCTCCTTCCCTACCTACTGCATCCTGTGTTCTGCTTTCTCACTTCCTTCTCTTTTCTTATAGCTTTTCTTTCCAGTTCCTGTTCGTTCTGGTCCCTGAGGAGCAAGGAGTGAAACATTAACAGTTGCTGGAGGACCAAGTTAATATGGCTGTTATGAGTTTAGAGTTGGGTGAGGGCTCCGGGAGACATCCTTTTTGTACGACATTGTGCCCCGGAGCTCTTTGCGCCACTTCATTGCTGGGTCAGCAAGAGGGATGTATATCGGTGCTTCACCCACTACCATCTACAGTCCAGCATTTAAGATAAAAATACTGCTAAAAGTCGATCTTTGCTAAGATACGGATGTTCCAGTTATTGCAAGTTAGTTAGCAGGTGGTAAATTGCTCTGCTATTATCACTTCACTGCATGTCTCAGTTGCAAAGAAGTCGAAAAGTTTCAGACATAGGGTAAGCAAAGCAAATGGATTTGAGTCATCATACCTGTCTTGACAGGGGATGTGGGAGTTGCAAGTACTTTGACAGTGGTTTGAAAAACATGTCATTTCACAGGAAATTCAGTGTGCATACCTGTGTCTTTTCTAAGTTGTATTTGCTGCTTTTACAATAAGGCTCTTACATTAGTAGGGAATATATCCCTGTGTTATCTGTACCTTTTTGTCAGCTGAGGATCACCATCCTCATAAATCTGTGCTTACACCATGTGCAGGAACTTCCTGTGCTGATGTCAACATATCCTGAATATAAATCACAGATATAAAATACTTACATTGCTATTAATTTCTCCATTGAAATGTTGCATGGCTAAGGCTGGAAAATGTAGGTCTTCATTATCTTTCTGAGGATACAGCTAATTTGTGTATTGCGAGCTTTTATATTGTCTGAAAATACAGCTTTACAGACTGTATAAAGAAGAGCATTTTCCAGCTGAGTTTGCTGTAGCCAAAGGTTTCATTAGCCTGACCCTTTCAGTCAACAGAATCTACTATTGAAAATGGAAATGTGCCTGGAAGAAGAAACTTTTTAACATAATAGTCACTGTGCTGGCAAATTTATCTTCCTGCTAATTTCTTCTGCCTGTGATGCCCAGATGGTTATCAGTTGTGTGCTAATGTAATCTTCTGTCCTGCTGGTTTATTTATAACCAGGATTGATCCATTTATGTATGGCTGCATATAGCAATTAGTTTTCATTTTTTTATCTGATTTTACACATTTTTATGTGTGCAAGACATAAGGAGGAATCCACCTTGTAAAACAGGTTTGGTATAAATGGATTGGTGAGTAGATACACTTGTCCTGTTGGGATATTATATACTTTTACCAACATCATCCTAACAGAGAAATAAATGTAAAGGAATTAAAACCTGATGTGTTTGCTATCTATACATGTATAAAATTTCACTGCTTTTCAGATTTCTAGATGATTTTATATAGTTTTCAGTTAACTTTTGCAATTTAAAATACTAGGTTTGGGAACATAACTGTAGTAGGTAGTTATTTCTTGAAAGACTACCTGGGTTATTAATGAAAAAAATATGATAAAATGAAGGTGGCTTAGAAAATGGAGAAATACACACACACACACACACACACACATATATATATATTAGTTTAATGCATCTCTTCTAACTTGTTTCAGGTTGAAGAAACTTCTTGAGCAGGAGAAGATCTATCAAGCCCGGAAGGAGAAGGAACACACAAAGAGACTCAATAAACTAAGAGAAGAACTAGTCAAGCTCAAATCATTTGCACTCATGCTGGTGGATGAAAGACAAATGCATATTGAACAACTTAGTCAACAAAGCCAGAAAATACAGGAATTAAACCAAAAATTAAAGGAAGAAGAAGAAAAGCTTAAAATTATTAGTACAAAAACAAAAGAAGATGGACAAAAACTGATGAAGTTAGAGGCGGAACTGGAACACAAAACATCATCATTTTCTCAAGAACATGAGGAGATGACTGCTAAACTGGCTAATCAAGAGTCACATAATAGACAGCTAAGACTTAAGCTAGTGGGGTTGACTCGCAGAATAGAGGAGCTAGAAGAAACTAACAAAAATCTTCAAAAAGCTGAGGAGGAGCTCCAAGAACTAAGAGATAAAATAGCAAAAGGGGAATGTGGGAACTCTAGCTTAATGGCAGAAGTAGAAAACCTCCGCAAACGTGTGCTCGAAATGGAGGGGAAAGATGAAGAGATCACAAAAACTGAATCCCAGTGTAAAGAGCTGAAAAATAAACTGCAAGAGGAAGAGCATCATAGCAAAGAGTTGAAACTTGAAGTGGAGAAATTGCAGAAAAGAATGTCAGAACTAGAGAAGCTGGAAGAGGCTTTCAGTAAAAGTAAGTCTGAATGCACCCAGCTACACTTAAACTTGGAGAAAGAAAAGAATTTGACTAAGGATTTGATAAATGAGTTGGAAGTGGTGAAGACTCGAGTGAAAGACCTTGAGGCATCAGAAAGCAAGTTGGAAAAGGCTGAAATAGGCTTAAAAGATGACCTTACAAAGCTGAAGTCATTTACTGTAATGTTGGTTGATGAACGAAAAAATATGATGGAAAAAATAAAACAGGAGGAAAAAAAGGTTGAGGGTCTAAACAAGAATTTTAAAGTTGAACAAGGGAAAGTTATGGATGTAACAGAGAAACTGATAGAAGAAAGTAAGAAATTTTTGAAACTGAAATCCGAAATGGAGGAGAAAGTGTCTAGTTTGACAAAGGAAAGGGATGAGTTAATTGGCAGACTGAGAAGTGAAGAAGAAAAATCCTCTGAACTAAGCTGTAGAGTTGATCTGTTAAAGAAAAGAATCGATGGTATGGAGGAAGTAGAAAGAGAAATTACAAGAGGTCGAACCAGGAAAGGACCAGAGCATGGTTGTCATGAGGACAACAAGATTAAAGAACTTACCATTGAAATTGAAAGACTGAAGAAACGTCTCAAACAATTGGAAGTGGTTGAAGGAGATTTGATGAAGACAGAAGATGAATATGATCAGCTAGAGCAGAAATTTAGGACAGAGCAGGATAAAGCTAACTTTCTTTCTCAACAGCTGGAGGAGATGAAACTCCAGATTGCCAAAACCAAAGCAATAGAAAAAGGTGAAGCAGTGAGCCAGGAGGCAGAGCTGAGGCACAGGTTTCGTCTGGAAGAGGCCAAAAGCAGAGATTTGATAGCAGAAGTTCAAGCTCTTAAGGAAAAAATCCATGAGCTGATGAACAAAGAAGACCAGCTTTCTCAGCTCCAAGTCGATTATTCGGTTCTGCAGCAAAGGTTTATGGAAGAAGAAAACAAAAACAAGAGCATGGGGCAGGAAGTTCTGAACCTAACAAGAGAGCTGGAGCTTTCTAAGCGTTACAGCCGTGCTCTGAGGCCCAGCATAAATGGACGAAGAATGGTCGATGTTCCCGTGACGTCCACCGGCGTGCAAACAGATGCTGTAAGTAGCGAAGCAGCAGAAGAAGAAACTCCAGCAGTGTTTATAAGGAAATCCTTCCAGGAGGAGAATCACATCATGAGCAATCTGCGACAGGTAGGTCTGAAAAAACCCATGGAGCGTTCTTCAGTGCTTGAGAGATATCCTCCAGCAGCGAATGAACTTGCAATGAGGAAATCTTGGATACCATGGATGAGAAAGAGGGAAACTGGGGCTCAGGCAACTCCTGATAAAGGAGCCCGAACCCATGGTAGTCCAGCGCATCCCGGGGAGGTTGTCCTTTCACCAAAACAGGGTCAACCTCTTCATATTCGGGTGACACCAGACCACGAGAACAGCACAGCTACTTTGGAGATAACCAGTCCAACCTCAGAGGAATTTTTTTCAAGTACCACTGTCATTCCTACTTTGGGAAATCAGAAGCCACGAATAACCATCATTCCTTCTCCAAACGTTATGCCACAAAAGGGAAAAGGCAGTGAAAGCCCCATGGGCCCGGATCGTTCTATGTCTCCAGTCACTATAACAACATTCTCCAGGGAAAAGTCCCCAGAGGGAGGGAGAGCACCCTTCGCTGACAGACCTACATCGCCAATTCAGATTATGACAGTATCAACATCTGCAGCACCGGCAGAAATCTCTGTCTCTCCGCAATCACAAGATATGACCATGGGAAGGGCCGTCTTCAAAGTAACACCAGAAAAACAAACAGTCCCCACTCCAATCCGCAAGTACAATGCCAACGCCAACATTATTACGACAGAAGACAACAAGATCCACATCCACTTGGGTTCCCAGTTTAAACGCTCTCCCAGTGCTGCACCCGATGGTGCAAGTCCTGTGATAACAGTCAGACCAGTGAACATAGCAGCAGAGAAAGAAGTTGTGACGGGTACCGTCCTTCGATCGCCCCGGAACAACCTGTCCTCACGACCGGCAGCAAGCAAGGTGACAAGTACTATCACTATAACGCCTGTTACAACGTCTTCCACCCGAGGAACACAGTCAGTGGTAAGCAGTGTAGTCTCATGATGTAGTCTTCATGGTAAGGAGAAGGGCAACCATGGTTTGGGTTTGAGACACCAGCAGGGAAAATGAGTGGGGTGAGGAGGAACTCTTGACTTCCCTATATTTGTTTCAGATACAAGCTTAACTATAAAATCAGAATTCACCTGATTCATATATTTTTGTACCAGTGTTGGATGCTGGTGTACTTTTGGCATTATCTCCCAAAGGAGTAACTTTCAAAGGAGGTCCCTTCAAAGTTCCTTTAAAGTTAATTTGGTAATGACAATCCTGTAAAATTGCAAGTTAGAGACTGAGAGGGACAAAGAATGATGGAGATGACAGAGCGGGAAACTATTTTTGGTTTTGGTGAGTGCAATTTCTGACTTCTGAAAATAACTCATAATGATTTTTGGCCCAGCTGGCAGGTCTTTAGAGTCTGATCACGCAGGCTAGTATTTCTGTGATATAATCCCATTATAGTTATAATTCAATTAATATCTGCTATAATACTGACCTCCAAAGGAATAAATAGGTAGACATGGTATCACTGCTTACAGCTCCAAGCCTCTTTCAGCCAGTGAGTAGTAAAGCTCTTTCTGTTCCTCTGAAATTCTCAACTTCTGTAAGTGCTGTGTTACAATAGTGCTTCCTCTAACATATTTTTTGCTGCTTTCTCTCTGTGCCTCTGTGGTGGTACCCCAGCTTCTTTTTCTTACTTAAATCAGTCTCTTGCCTCTGTCTTTAAACATAGTGGACAATATTTATTGATAGTCCTCCCCCCAGGTTTATTATTGGACATGGTTTTGCATTGCTTTAGTTGGAAATACCCTGGAAAGAAGAATTTAACCAAAATAGAAAACCAGCAGTACTGTATTAGTCCAAAAGCTTATTTAGCTAGACAGAGCCTGCAGCAGATGCTTAGGGGAAGATTATTTTAAGTGGGTAAACACACAGTAATGTTTCCCTCAGCGTCTGTTCCCAGTTTTTGGCAATAGGTGGGTATTTCTTTCTGAACCAGGGCCTGTAGCCACATCTTTGTGTTTAATAGACCGTGGCGGAGTTTTCTTCTATTTATTCTTCTAATTGCTTTTTGAACTCATTTATACTGTTGTTTCCACAACATCAGGGGGCAGTGAATTCACTTGCGGGCTCTGGGAAAAATGCTCTTTTGTTTGATACCTTTTATGCAATACCTTCATTGGTTACAGCCTCTTTCTTGTATCTTGACAAATACTGAATAGTCATCCCCTGTTCATTTCTCCATGCTGCTCAGGAGTCTGCAGACCCCTACAACATGCCTCTTCAGCCATCTCTTTCCAAGCTGAAATGTCAAAGTGTATTTAAGATACACTTCCACACTTTTGGAGAGAGGCTGCCATTCCCATTTAAGCCCTCTGACTTAAGAAAACTTGCATTTGTCATACAGATCTATTTGGGATTGCACATGTGCTCGCTCTCTCTGCCCCCACAAATATAATATATTGTAGATACTTTACTGTACAGTGTTTTCCTACATACTAGAGGCAACTGTTCATTTTTTAAAAAGTCTTGAATTAATTAATTTACAAGCTCCTTTGTCTCTCAGAAGCTTGGAAGCTTTTTTTTTTAAGAGTTCCTCATTCTTTTTTACTAGATGTCTTTCTCTACTGTGATGATGCACTGAACCGTGGCAGACGAAATTTTTTGTTTTGTTTTCATCTGGTTAAAAAGTGGCTTCTTTCTTCACTTCATCCTCCCTGATTTGGAATGTAAGGAAAATAGTTCAACCATAAGATTTACTTCATCTTATGCTTCCCTTTGTTTTTTAAGGTCCCTGGTCAGATGAGCAGGGAACTTCGAACAAGCCCAAACGTGCCTTATCCTCCCTAACCCCCTGGAAAAAAAATAGAAGTTGTATATCCACCATCTGTTTTGCAAATGCCTACGAACACATTTGAATACACCAGTCAGAAAAAACCAAGTTGTGATCATTTACTCCGTAAACCTGGAAGAAACCAACATCGATATAATTTTGAGGGGTTAAGTTCATAAAATCAAACTGATAACACAGCTGCTTTCGTAGCTCACTGGTTTTAATTTTTTTTCTTAACTCTCCTCATACAAGATGCTTTGTACAGTGTACTAATGCAGTGCCAAGCTACAAAGGGGAAAATAATTCTGAGGTTCCTAACTCTCATCTGTTGCTATAACAAATTTGCAGTTACTGTTTTCATATTGGAGAACATTTAACTTTTCTTCCAGTTTGAATTTATAGAGTTATCTTCAGTACTGCAGGTGAAGTTAATTTTAAGGTGCACACACGGCATTTTTAAAGGTTCAGCCTGAACTGTGGTGTGTGTCTGCATATGTGAGTCCAAAACCAGAGTCTGTGGTTTCATGATGGACCATCATGATTTTTGAAACCCACGAATCCATGGATTAAGGGGTGTTATGGTTGTGTTGATTTATACTGACATACATACACTCTAGAGTAGCCAGAGATTTATATTCCCCTGATTGAAGCCCTCTTCTGAGTCTGCAGCAGTTCCGATTTAGATAAAATGAGAGACCCTGATCCAGAGAAAGACACGGGCACCTGAAGGAGAACTTGGGAAATTTTTGAGCATTTAACCAGAGAGATGAACCAAAAAAGGCGCCAGTCAGTGACTGTGTCTCCACTGGCACCTGAAATCTCTGGACCCAAATGTTTTGGAGGTACTTCATGTTCTGCCTGCTGCACAGCTGCCGAGCAGCTGGCTTTGTCACACCAGCGCTGCCACCTGGCATAGTCCAGTCTCACAGGAGCCTACACAGCAGGAGCTGATGTGATGGAGACTGTTTGACTAGCTGGACTGAATTCAGCATTTAACAGAACCATTGCCACTTTGATTAAAAAAAAAAAAAAAAAAAGAACCAAACCCTAAGCTGGTAACTGCCTTTTATATGATAGCCTACAGCTTTGGGTCATTACCACAGAAGTGGAAAAAATGGGGTTTGGTCCTCCTTAGCTTGCTTAGAGTTAAACCCACTCCCAGGAAAATACTTGGACTACCCTAGCAGACCTAGCAGATAATTTTTTATTACAGATGGACCACAGCACAGCCAAAAAATTCAAGACTATGAGAGCAGAGGATATGCAGACCAAAATGATCCTGAAACTGTAGCCTGGTTGTTAGTCTTGCCTTAGCACATTAGCCCAAGTCCCTGTTCCCAGGACAGTTCATACAGTTTACAGTAAAAAACCCACAGAATAAAAACAAATATTCTTGGGGAAAAAAACCAACTGTGGTGCCTATATCCTGTTTTTTTTGATTTAGGCCTCACATTTGGCTGTAGGATTGCTGTGAATTTGGACCTTCTGTGGCTACCAGGATGGGTGTCAGTCCTATTAATCCCTTCACCCCTATGCTCCCCACCTCCTGCAAGCCTGGCATCCAGCGCCAGCTGTTCATGCTGCCAGGGTACAGAGCAAATCCGGTGACATTCAAATCTGCAGGGAGCAGAGGGAATCCCCACTGCAGCAGAGCCAGCGTAGTGAGTGGCACGGCACCAACCATGCAGAGCGTCCTGTGACGGAGGCAGCAAGGCACAGCTGAAAGGCTGGTGGGTGCCAGAGCTAGCTGGGCACACGTTAAAGCAGCTATAAGGCTACTTTCATTTGGGCAGCATTTAGTTTGAGGTCGGCATCTAAATTCAGCTCTTTGTAGGTGTCCCATGTACGCTCTAAGCTTCTGTTGGAGTTACTAGGGATCCAGGGGTCAGCTCACTTGCCCCTACAGAGGTGCACGGTGCTCTCTGCATACCCTGTGGCAGTTGAGACACGTGCGTGAGGCTGGTACATATAACATGGACCTGTACCTTTCTGCAGCAGAAGCTGACGGGATACCTCAGATGGCACAGGGTGCCTCGGTGCCGGCAACTGAGTCAGCCCCTAGTCATCAGTCCCGTTGCCAGCACTGAGCCCTGTGTGCTGGCTCCATGGAGACTGGAGGGTGATTCAGCGGAGACTCCGCTAGCTTCAGTGTGAACTGAATTGCCCACTGGGCTCCACTGACTGTATTGACTAGATCTCAAGTCCCACCCTTTCAGAATTTCAGCCTAAACACACTTCTTCAGTGTCATTTTAAGTGCTGTCAAGTAGCCTACCTAACTTCCAGCTGCTTTATCAGAGGTTGCAGGTCTCTTTGGGTCCTCTGTCTTATCTACCAGCCCTGCGCAGACAGCTTGAGTAGCCCAGGGCATCTCAAATTGCACTAGATATCTGTGTCAGCCACTGAACCGAACCGTTTCTGTCCAGGGCAAGCTGGTCCCTGATCTGATTGGGAACAAGTGCTGAAAAAGCACCTTTGTTATTAAAATATTCCAAAAGTAAATGTGTGTGTGAAAGCACACTTTTTGTGTGTCAATAAAATGCACTAAGCGGGATCTTTTATAAACCACTAAAACATGCTAAATGTTCTGTACATGCAGATTGCTTTTCTTCCTTTAATGGGACCGTCCAACCTTACAGCTTAATATACCTGCCAGTGTCTGCAGTGAGTGCTGATTATCAACCTAACCAGCTTAGCAGCTGCATGTATTTATCTCACTCTCAGTAATGTATTTATTAACCTTGCTTGGCCCCCTGTGCTGTTCCAGCACCACGTCCTGCCAGCTCAGAGCCAGCCAGCGTCACTCTGCGTGCGTCCCGCGGGGCCGCGTCTCGGGCGCTCCGTGCCGGCTGCCTACAAGTTGGCTTTCTGGTTGGAGCCGTGTTTCTGTATCGACCAGAAGACAGCAGCCTGCAGACAAACGGGGCTGGAGGGAACTGCTTAGAACTTGGTTCTTGGACGAGTGACCAAGAGACAGACGGTCGTGTGGGTTCTCTGCCACAGACACTAGGGACGCGTCCTCTGCTGCGTACCCTGGCACTCTCCCCGAAGGGGACTGCTTGCTGAAGAGGCACCTTTGTGCCATTTCACTTAGCAAACACAAACCGCTTTCTCAGCTGCGTGTGAAGCAGGCGTTAGCTTCCATATGATCAACACGTTAGTATGCTGTAAGGAAGGCAACTAAGAAATTTAAAGCAAGTTAGAGTTCTTTTCAAAGTGCTTTTGAGTGATTTAGGCTTGAAATGCGTAACTTGAAAGCGCCCAAATCCTTAGTTAATAATTTACATGTGAATAAAGCTGAAGAAATGCCTGAGATTCCAGCTACTTCATTTGATTGCCTCATGTTTACACACTGTGGAGCTCTTTCAGGGAGTACAAGATGTTTGTCATTTGGGTTCCCTGGGATGTTGACATATTTTCCAAGGCTGATGGAATGCATTTGCATGTTTTGCCCTACGGAATTGTATGGGCCTAACTTGTTTTGACATCTACATGTGAGTTCCATATTAGCCTTTAGACTGCCATTGTAAATGTTGCTTTTAGTTATTGAAAATGGCTTCCTTCCTGCCAGGCAGACAGCATTCAAGTTTTCCAATTGTGATTTTTTTTGTGTACACATGGGGTTTTGAACTGTTCTTAGAAGATTAAGGAATGGTTTTGCTTTGAATACTCAGGATGCAGACAGAAGGCTCTGATGCTACTGGCTGGAAATCCTTCGAGAGAGAAAAATGCTCCTTTGTGGAGCATTTTTTAAGAGCATTTTTAAGTAAATGTGCAAATACATGTTGCAGTTGATGCGACCTACTAATCCAATCTATTTCAGCAGTTTAGTTTTATTTTGCTTACATGTCGTAAGTTGCAGAATTTAGTGATTTAGCAGATGCGTCTAGCTAGGATTCCAGGACCTTCTGAGAAGTGTTCTCTTTTGTGAGCTCAAAGTCTTCATTCATTATCTGAACAGAAAAAAGCCACATATGAAATTCAGCTGAGACACTGAAGTTGTCACCGTTAATGTTTGTGTCTGTATTGTACACTGCAGAAGATAAAACACATTTTCCTTTCAGAATTGTCATGGTTATAAGTATTTTCTTTAGGTTGTGGTCCATAAGGGATAGCTTCCAGTTTTGGCTTTGCGGAGTACATGCCACATTATCTGGCCAGTGGAGACAGAAAATAGCAGCTGGCCCTTTTGAATCTTTTTCTCCTATCCAAATGCTCCTTGTGCATTTACACAGTGGGATTCAGTTGCCTAAACATATGTACTGATTGCATTTCCCAAGCTATAGGATAGCTGGCCTGGCCTCCAGCTGGTGCTCCAGAAGGGCACAGAGGCCTGGTAGGAGCCGTGCTGGGTCTGCCAGCCCCATGCGTGGGTCCTCAACCACTTAGGCCATTTTTTTTTATTTTATTCTAAAGTCCTCAAACTTGAGGCTAAGTGTGCTTCGTAGGCTGTTGTCCAGGGCAGCAGACTGGCAGGGATAGTAAAATGACCGTGTCTGCACCGCCTTGAGGTATCCCTGGAAATCTGGGCTCCCTGCTTCACCCTCACCAGAGTTCATCAAGCTGTGGCTAGGGCTCGGAGGGGGAGAGCCCTCTCCCACATCCCTCCTCCCACAGCCACAGGAGAAGGAAATCCAATGCTCTGTCTCTCTCCCCCAGTCCCTTACGCTTCCCGGTACAGAAATAAGTGGTGCCAGCCATGGCCCCAGCATACTTTGGGAAGCAAAGTTCAATTTTATCTATAATGCTGAGAAATCTTGCCCCAGCTCTGAAAATACGGCAGTTACACGGCTATACGGTTCTGAGAGCCCATGCTAGTCTGTGCAAGATGCTAATATTGTACCTGTCTGACAGCTAAGCTAGCATTTCGGTAGCCTCGAAAGCCGTACTGCACTGTGTCGTGCTGTGGAATCGGAGTTTTGCAGGGATTCCCATCCCGATGATGTCTTGGTCCGAAACACCGGACCTCAGCTCTGGGACACTCGTTTGACCCCAACTGTACCTTTGGCCCTACTCTAGCAGTATGTGCTATGGCCAGGTTCCAAATGTGAACATTAATTTGCTAAGAGGCATGATTTGGGACATTGTTGCTTGAGAGGTAAATGAAGAACCGATGAAAACTATAAGATGAGCATATACGAGAAGAAAAAGTCCTCCGTTCATGTCCTTTCTCTCTCTCTCTCTCTTTTGCAGACAGGACAGGATGGGTCATCTCCGAGACCTACACCCACCCGCATTCCTGTGTCAAAAGGTATGAAAGCAGGAAAGCCAGTAGTGACAGCCCCAGGAGCAGGAAATGTGACAAAATTCGAGCCTCGTGCCGAGACTCAGTCTATGAAAATAGAACTGAAGAAATCTTCAGCCAGCAGCTCTGCCTCCCTGGGCGGGGGTCAGGGCTGATGGCGGTGGCTCAGGGGGTATGTTCTGCAGGTTTTCTGCTACCATGGGAGTCAGCCCCCTGTCTGTGTAGTTGCTCACGTTTGCCCGTACTAATGAAGTCCTGCAGCTGTCACTTAAACAAACTAATAAGTGTGTGCACTGACTACTTAAGTAACAACATCCTTTTGTCTTCTTACTGCAGTTTAAAAAAGAAAAAAAAAAGCCATCAAAAAGGCAGTTGTACGCCAGGAAGATCTTCAGCCTAGGAAGTGAGAATGGGGCAACTGCACTAGCTTATTAATGTAGTTCAGGAATTCTTAATGATAGATTTGGTCACTTTTTAATAGATCAAAGGAAATTTGGTCACTTTTACTAGATTGTCTTCCACCTTAACAGATCACTTTCCACCTTCACTACTGCACGGGGCACTTTTCTTCCTGCCTGTGATCACATTATCGAGATGCCGCGATGCCTAGGGAAGCAATGCCAGGAATGAAAGCTAGTAACTCAGCTGCGGGAGGGAGGGACGGGAAGAGAGGAAGGATGGGCACCATGTGACCAGTCTTCTCTCTAGGATTCTCCCATCCAAATCAGCGTTTTTCAGTGGTGAGCTGCTTTCTCAAGGCAGGTACAAATTTCAAGGGGGTAGGGAGGTTGCACAGTGTTCAGCAGCAGCAGTGCTAAGCTTATTTCTTCCAGAGGGGCTTAACACTTGTAGACAGTGCTTACAACCAGGTCCCTGACGTACACACACTGCCAGCTTACTTACGTACTGCCAGCTCAGGGGTCAGATGAAGGCAAGGGAGCCAAAAGGTGTCTAGTCTTTAGAAAAAGCTTGAGAAACATTGGTCTGGCTAAAATCGATATAGTCCGCATCTGTGCCTGCTCCAAAGACCACTAAAGGCTCTGAAGCAAGTCACTCCATTGCTTTCACTAGGTTTTCAGTGTTCCTGTTTGGATGAACTTGTGCTATATTTAAACCTTAGTTGCCAAGCATCCTTACGTCTTAGAGGGGAAGACAGCACAGACTGCTGGTGGCAGAAATTGCTATTTAAAGGCACGGCTCAGGTACAGACAGTGAAAGAGATAGGGTTTGGTATGGCAGTTACTCTCAGTTCTCAGTTGTTTGAAATATTTTCTCTTAAATACAGACTGCCTCACAATACCATGGCAATTCATCGTTTTTCTCTCCCTCTTTGTGATTTCCTCCTTTATATGTTTGCATTTTTAAGCATGTTTTACGGAATTGTGCCAGCATGGAAATGGTGTGGATGCCAATGATTGTTATGATTGTTTATTTAATAACAGTAAAGTTATTAAAGGGTGTCTCTATTAAGTGATCAATTTCCACAGAAGAAAGTCACAACGAAAAGAAATGGAGTCGAGCAGACTGATAAATGAGGGTTTTAAAGCTTTTATAATACCTCAACCACCTCAGCAAGCTGTAAAGGACCCAGTGATTAGGAATAGCTTTCAGAAAGCGAGGCAGGAAGACCACCAATAAATAATAAATACAATTCACAGAAAAGAAAATGCACCAGTGGGTGAAATATTAAATGGCTTTCTGTCTGGGAGAAGAGGTTTGATGGAAGAATCTGCCACAGAAGGTCAACAAAATTATAGTCGGTGCAAGCAATGTTTAGTCTTCAGTCTGCACTTTGCATTGCTCTCCAATTTAAGATCCAGATATGGCCATTATCCCAGCGTAAAGCTGGCATTTTATTATTCACATGAAGGGCATTTTGTCTGTGGTGTAAAAGCTGCTGCTGCATCAGAAAAGAAGTAGGTTTCAATTTTTACACATGTAACACCTGCAATACCTGTTAATTTTAAGATTCTGGTTCCTATGACATCTGAAAATCAGATTCATATTAGGAGCATTTTTCATAACACTCAATTCCCAGTATTTCAGATAAAACTTGGAAACTCGAATTAGCCAGCAATGTGAGTTACTATGCCAGAAATACATCATATCCTCTCAACTAATTGTTATCACTTAAAAGCCTTGATTTGTCAATAAATTGTTGCCGAGATCTTACTGTTCGTACTGTATCATAGACTTTTCAACAGATGTTTGAAGAAAACACATTATTAAGAGCTTTTTGCTGGATATTCACTCTAAATACTGGCACTGAAGCAAGTCTTCAGGTCAAAACAGTCATTTAAATAATATTGCAAACATGAGCCCCAAGCTAATGTGGCTTGATACAGTGATGAACTACAGCTGCCTTAAGCCTTCCTTTTCAGATCCTTGTTTCAAAGAAACTTAGTTCCTTAGTTAACTGTTGCTATACCCAAGGCAATACTCGATGTGTGCCTGTGGTTGAAAATTTGTTTGTTTTGTTTGAGATCTAAGAAACTAATTCACCTGGAGAAACAAGCCAGCCTTACCGTACCTGAAATCCAGGACACACAAATTAGCGCAACTGAACGAGAACTGCAGGCACAAGCCGGGGATTACTCTTGTAGTCAGTAGGATTTCATGAGACGGACTCCAGAAATTCCAGACAGGTCAGACCAAGGGTCATGTTATTTTTCCCAGGAGCAACACAACAGAAAGGAACTGTTGCTCCACAGCAGAAGCCTAAAGAGTTGGAATCAGGCAACTGGTTTAACCGTTAGCTAAAAATAGGTATTTAGTTGTACTAATCATTTTTAACATCTGTTTTAACTGACCCGCGGTTCTTGTTTCTTAAAGGTAGAAGAAGGGTAAGATGAAGAAAAAAGAAAGCCTGTAGTTCAGAAGTCTTAAAAGTTGACGTGTGACTGTGTTATATTGGAATTTCCTCTGACTCTGAAGACAGTTATGTTTAGTGACTACAGTAAGGTCCTCTGTTCAGTAGGTCAGCTCCAGAAGGCAATTTAGACAACCAAGTCTAAAGACGGTGCCTAAGCCCCAGAGGCATCCTGAAGATCTTCCTGAAGTTCTTCCACTGCCCTGGTCTAGTCAGTGTTTCAGTTGTGACTTAGCTAGCACAGCAGCCTCTGAACCTAATCAAGATCCATAATCGAGGTATTCTTGTATTTCTTCTCAGGGCTTTAAGTCAAGCCACAATTTCATGGTCACTTAAAGTCTGGATGTAACCCCACACTGGAGTGAAAAGCTGTAGTCCTGTCTTTGTCACCTCCAGCCAAGAAAGTACTCGCTTCCATGTGGTTGTCCCTTGAGCTGGCACAAGGGTTTGTTTGAACTTAACTGGGGAACTGATCTGAACTAAAAGGAATCTGGCAAAAAGCAGAAAGGCTAGCTTTAACATAGCTTAGTTCCAGGCTCTCGGGGCAGAAAAAGAAAGAAGGCAGGCGTAGGAAACCAGCGGCTGTTTTAAAGTGACTGTGGAATCATGAATGCCTCTTAGCAGATCAAATACCACACAAATGTAGGGGTAGTGCTGCTTGTTTTAAAAACCTTTGAGTGAAACCTTTCTTCAACAGTAGGAGACGAGTCCCCCCTTCTCACCGGTATCTGAGGAGACTCAAACCCACATCAGCTCCAGCCAGGTTCACCAATGGCACCAACAGCTGAGGGGGAAGAAGGTGGTATTCTCATTCCCTCCTGTAAAGGCTGTGCTGTTCTGCATGGAGGGCTTCAGTATTCACTGAGCAGAAACAAGAGGGTGGTTGAGTGGTCAGAATATTGAATGAGGAGGAGGGAGACCCCCCGGATTCTGGTCCCTCTTCCAAAGGCTGCCTTTGAGCCTGACCTTTTGTGAAAAGAAGGCTTGTAAGATGAAGTGTCTGTTCATCCATCCCTCCATCTGTCCTTTGTTGATGAATAACATTGAACACATCAACCAATTTCAGCCAAATCTGACAAAGCAATAGGGGTCTCCAGAATAAGAATTTCTTCCAGTTTAATGAAAAGGGCAACAGGGAAGAGGAGCAAGAACCTTAGCAGTGCCCCACTGCACGGAAGAATGTAGCTTGAGCTACATACACCTTCATACAACATCAAAGAATGAACACAAGAGACTGATGTCAGAAGTACTACAAGGACAAGCCTTGTTCAGACCTCAGATTTTACTAGGCACCAAAGAATCAAACTCTGATACACCAATCCGTAGGAAAATATTAGGGCCTTTATTTACAGGGCTTCTTGTGTATTCTACATTACTGGATTATAATGCAGAAACCAAGCCTTCCTCTGCGCAGGTCATCATCTAGAATGAGTCATCCTCTTGCTTTCTCTCTCTTACCTTTTCCTCTGTGTTGATTTTTTTTTTTAACAAAGTGGAACAGTTTCAGTAGCAAAAAGCATGCAACTCAGAGTAATAATGATAGTTACAGTGCTTCATCAGGAACCGAGCTGGCTGAGAACCGATCTTTGTATTTTTGGTAGGATTCATTGTCAGCTGGAGAGATGCTTTGTTCTGGCTGACTGCGTGGCCATATAAGCAGTCGTGATAACTCAAGCCCAGCAGTTGGAACATCTGGCTTAGGCCAGCAGTAAGGTGGAGAGGGGGAAGAGTGAGGAAAATGCCAGCCCATTCATGAGCAGCACACGTGGACTGAGAAGGTGCACCCTCGGTTCTCCAGATGATCTCTGTGATTTTAAATCTAGTTCCTACTAAGTTTTCCACTGTGTTCCCCAGACTAGAACCCATCACCTGAATTACTGTTAAATGTGCGTATTGCTAATGTAGTCATTAGCAGAGCAGTACATTTAAGTAAGTGTGACTGAAAATGAGGGAGCACAGAACTTCAATCCTAATGGCTGGGGGGGAGTTTCTCAGACCGCTAAACATGCTAAGTAAATAATAGAAGAAAACCAGAGATTTTTTACTTATTTTGCCCACCTTTTTTTCCTTTCGTGACACCCATTAGTGTGATTTTTTAAAAAACAAATAACGCTGTGTGACTCTCATGAATATGCCCATAGAGTATGCATGTTACCATATGTAAATCTCAAACCACTTACAGCACACAGTAATTAGCATCATGTGAGTAATCTCTAAAGTCACGTTAATATGTTGATTCATGCCAGTTGGATGCCAAGTCATATATTATTGCCTGACATATGCTACACGTGTTCTAAAACATCCTCAATATTTACATGAATATTCAGTAATTCTGATCACATGTGGAAGAGCATGTCTTTAAAGAGACCAAGCTACTGTCCTGCTGGGTTTCAGGTGCTTGGCATAAGCTGTAAGAGTCAGGACAATTTTCAGACCAATTATGTGTTCCCATCACACATCAGTGGCCGATTTCATTGAGTCACTTTGAAACCTGTAGTTTGCTGGCAGGAGTTTCTGTGAGCTCATCTTTCGAACTTGTTTTCATTTAGGGGAATATTTTTCTCCCCTATGTCACTGTGAGTTACCCTCTTTCTCTTAATTTTGCCTGAGCTCTTGCAGGCAAAACTACATGCAACATTTCTCATTACAGATGTTAACTTCACTTTGAATCTTACTCCCTACACACTGCTCTTACTTGGCTTTTTGGAAGATGCAATCAGGGTTAACCATTCTCACATGCAGAGCTATCAGCTCTGAGGGTCAGGTATGAAGCACTCAGGTATGAATGGGTCTTTGCTTTAAAAACTCTCTTCAGGATTTTAAAAATAGAAATACTGATACATGATTCTCCTCTGTTGCTTGGGCGCGCATTGTCTGTGGTACATACATTTTTCTATATTGTAAGAAGAAATTAAACTTCATGTGTTAAAATGTCAGTTGACGTGCTTCATTATATGAACCAGTATTTTTCATAGACCAGCTGTTAATGATGTGTTTCCTGGAGAAGTTCTGATTTACATCAGTGGGACTGAAAGCAGAATTAGCAGTTTTACATTAACTTTGTTTTCTTTTCCTATCATTCAAATAGTTTTGTTTAAGTGAATTCATAGCTCCTTGAAATATTCACATCTGTAACCCTAGAAAAATTTATGTAATCATATCCTACAGATATAATCATATTCCTACAGAGGGTGGTCCGACAGAACTCTGACAAAATCTGCCCTACTATAATTTTAGCTTAATAACTGCTCAGACACCCCTTTTAGTAACTAGAGCGTGTGTGTGTATATATGTGTGTGTATATAATATATATATTTTTATATATATATAAGCATTTCAAATAAAAACAACTGATGGACAAACTAAGAGCATACGTATACGTGTGTGAGAAATGAATGAACAAATGAATACTAGAAGTGGAAATAATATTTGATTTTTTAATTATTTCTCCTACTCTTTTCTGCATAATTGCTATATTTGGTCTGTAGGAGGAAGACTGATTCAGAAACCTGCTGTAGTCTTGCTGTTCATTCAGTGACTGAGCCTTTACAAGGAGCATGATATTTTTCTGCTACCCATTTAGTTTTTAGAATTTTGTATCCAAACTCCGTATTCATATATAAAGTGCATAGTGAATTTAAGAAAAAAATTGTTCCATATGGAGTTCATGTGACTCCCCTTGAAGTTAATGGGAGAGTTCGCCTGAGGTTACAATCTGATATTAAGTAAATGCAGCTTTTTACATCTCATACCGCAAGAGCTTGAAGTTAGACAACAGCACTGGTTGTAAGGTAAAATCTTACTGTAGTTTGTGGTTCTTTCACATTCGGTGCGTACATTTGGTAGAACTGGTATACATATCTTGTTGAAAATCATTTGTTATTGATAAATGATATGGAAAAGAAATACTTTCTATTTGGGAAATTCTATTGGTTCATTTGCCTTAACATATTTTCTTGCATGTTTCCTGAGCCCCGCTTTTGTGATTCACTATGTATGAAGAGCATCACTGGAATCTGCCATCTAGTGGCAAAGTTCTGGCATTAAGAGTACATGGAAAACATTTTGATTTTTCTTTCTTCTTACAATGTAACTTAACCAAACATCTTGCAAATATTAGTTAGGAAGCAGACAAAGGCAGAAGTCAATAAAAATGTAAAAGGGAATAATGACGGGATTAATGTAATTTCTTGGGTCATGTAAATTTTGTAAAATCTTCAGACAATTAGGAAGGAATCTTAAGGAAAATAATTTCGATTAAGAAAATGAGTATTTCTGAAAATGTATAATTGTATGTTTTGAGTTAGCATTGGTACAGTTATATTATTTGAAATGCATAAAATACACCTTTTCAGAGAAAAATGTCATTGATAGCTAAATTCCTATATTAACAAAGTTGCCTGCAAGAGCAATATATATAGATAGAAGAACATAAGACCAGGTCATTAGTATTTCAGAAGAGCCCAGAGATTAATCAGGATCAGAGATCTACATTACACGCAGGACAAAGTTAAACCCAGCCTTTCAAAGACAATGCCAACACTTAGTTTTGCACACTGTGGCTGAAATCTATCCCCATTGAAGTCATTAGCAGAATTCAAGCAGACTTGCTGAATAAAACCAGCATAGGTTTCTAAGCCACATTTAAGTAAAAAATGAGGAATGACCCCATACCTCTTCCTCATCCCCTTTTCAGAATTGTCAGCAGATCCATGATGGATTTGTGTAAACAGGATACAGGAGACCCAACTCCAAGTCTTCCTCTACCTGATTCTGGTGTGGGATGGGAACATTGGTGTCCCTGTGGTTTAATCCATTCAACTGTATTATTGTTTTTCCCCGTGGAACACCAAATGATGGTCCTGACGTTGAAGTGGAAGCCAAGGGCCTCTGAGCCCTCGCCTGGTACTAATTTGGTTTCCCTTTGTAGCATTAGCCAGGACAGTTTTTATCGGCCAGTGATGTGGGAGTAAGTCTGTGAGACATTTCTAGAAGAAAAATGCTTTGCACTGCCATTGTAATTGTTCTTCTTTAAAGTAACTTGTAACGTATTTGCAGTTTCATAAAACCAAATGTTTTGCTATCTTTTCTTTTAGAGAGTGTCATCATTCACCAGTTACGCATGAACTCCAGATGAGTTACCGCCTCCACTCTACACTCTCCGCGTGCACTACCCTCCTCGCCAGTTGGACGGATCACTGTAGAAGCTCTCTACCATCAACACCAGGGTCACTTGTGCTACTGATTATTCGTGGAAGTATTTATTGCCTCCATTAGGTTTTATATATTTTTTCTTGGTAGAGCTCTAAGAATGAAGAGCCTTGCTGATACTTTGAAAGTGCATAGTCAGAGAGGGAGAAGCAGTCTTTCTGCCAGCTGAATTTCACTTTTATTTGCAAAGCCTAAGGCGCGTGCTTGATTTTGTTTGATGTTTGCCATATAATTTATTTTTATAATACACTTTGTAAAGTAACTGTCCCAAAGTTGCAATTCCTGTCGTCCATGGCGCATTTATTTGTAGAATACACTGTCAAATTTGCAATTTGATATTTTTGTAATAGAGAGTATGTAAAGAAAGAAAAAACTAACTTCAGCAATGTTTTGTGTTTAAATGGAAAAATATTCAGCACATTTTTTTGCCACCATGAGATTCTGTGAGACTAAATACTCTGAAGACTGCTGTATGGCATTTGTACTATTGCAGAATATTTCTTGCACTGTGTGATGGTTTGGCATAAAATTAAGTATTAAAGTCCAATGCCTTGAAATACAACCAGATTTACTCATTTTAAACAATGTAAGCCAGTTTTTAAAGCTGTGATTTTTTTTCTATATAATGTATGTTTTTACTTCTGCCTGTACCAAAAAAGTTGATTTTCATTACACTGTAACTAATAAATTTTCACAACTATGCAAATGTAATCAAGTGTTTGAATTTTAACTCCAGTTTCCTAAGGTTGACAGTACTCATATATGTATTTGTTTATAGGGACAGAATGTATGGCTTTGAAGTTCCTTCTTCTGACTGGTGTCGCACTGTGGTATCCCAGTGCTGTACAGAGTAAAACTGATGCAGATGTTAAGATGCAGAGAGGGATCTATCGCCAAGCCCTTAACGGCTTCATGGCTTCTAACCTTGTGCTTTCACTGCACTGGCAGAGAGGTCTGACTGGTACGATCAGGAAGAAGTAGCAGCCCTGGGCTGGTAGGACTATGTCAAAGAGAGTCCGCGCACTCTGCCGTATGCTGAAGGGCCCATTTTGCACTGGTGGCTGTAGCTTTGCAAAGAGCATCTGGAGAGTTCTGTGGCAGCTACACTTAAAATGATTTTTGAATGAATTGCATGTAAAGCTGGATACAGGCCAGGCAGGGTCTTTTCTTATACATTTCATAATGAATTATTTTTAATCTAAGTCATTGGCACATATTTAAAATCCTGCGGATTGTTTAACCGCAGAAGCTACTGGGAGAATCTACTTTTTGGAAGGGAAAAAGGTGTTGCTTGCAGGACATACGCTGTGAGACGCCAGAACGAGTGCATTAATTCCGCGTCCCACTGAGATGACGAGGTCAGTTCATCTTTGAAGCTGTAATATCGCACTGCTCTGTAGTCAAGTTGATCTTCATGGGAGCCGCTTTTCCTTCTAGATAGGAGTTCTGCAGCAAATGCTGACACGGTAGAGAAGCAGGATATTCTGGGACCTGTATAAACTTTCTTGGAGTTGATCTGCATTATAAAGAGTTTGCTAATACAGCTATACCGAGTAATCAAAATAAATGCTGCTTACCCTTGCGAAGGAGTCATTTTGTTGGTACAGCTTATACTTCAGCTGGTACATCCAGTTTTTTAAGGAGTGGGGTTTTTTTCTTTCTTATGGCAGACAATGTATGCCAATAACATAGCTATGTCTGTAGATCATATTTTAGAGTGAGGTGAGAATTCCAGCTTTCAGAGCATAATACAGCTGAGGTGAATTAAGTTTAGTGTGTGCCACATTTCAATTTACTGCGCAGTAGAATGAACATTGTAATGACCCAGATCTTCTATTTTCAAAGCGTTACTTGGGAATCAAAACCTATCCATGTTAAGAACTACATTGAGCTCATCTGGAATGAAATTGCCAGCTATTTGAAAGTGACAATGACACGCCTGAAATAAACTTCAGCTTTTAAATATGAGTAAGATATAAATAAAATATTATTCTGAAATTGAGTCTAGGTTTAAAAGGTCCCAATCAAAGTAGAAAATATTTTTCCTTGTATAGATTTTAATATAAAGCCGATTCAGTATGAGTATATGTATAAGTTGTCCCCTTCTGGTTTATGATTCCTAAACAAATAAACATTTACGGTTTCACACGTACATTAAGTTTATAAGCTTCACAAAATAAAGGTTTGTTTAAAGCATAAATACAGTCGTGGTGTATTTGAAATCATTTAGATTTTAAAATATTTTTGATCAACTGCAGCACTTTGGAGTACGAGTCTGGTAACGCTGGTCATAAAAGCTCCGTGGTGATATACACTATTTCATCGCTGATAATGGTTTATACAGGTAGAATAATAAATTCTGATCTGACACATGGCAAGCAGCTTAAGTATTTCATAGAAATGCCTGGAGGGTAAAACTCACGTGTGCAAAGGGTGCTTTGACAGGTGTATTTCATCTTCAGTGCATTTATGTTCCTGGTCAATTTTTTACATTACCTAATCTGGATATGAATCTAAAGCAAGTAAGTAAAGAAAGTGCATTAGCCACATAATTAGCCTGTATTTTAGGGACACTCAGGAAGAAATCTATTAATATAAAGATGTGATTAATTTCTACAAGTATTGTCATTTTAAAGGAAGTAATCAGGAGGTGCCTTCAGACTAAGACAATGTAGAGGCTACCTTGGGCTACAGACATTGCTGTGTTAAGGCGTAAAGAAGTTTGGCAGAAAATAAACACCCTCAGGTGTCAGAGGGGCTGGGGGTGGCTAGGCTCAGATTCTGAGTGATGCCCAATTCGGCACTGTAAGTCTGGTCACATTCAATATATTGAACTATCACGATTACGGATGCACAAATAGCGCACTGTACTTTCAATTTAGTCATGTTGAACAAACTAGAATGGCCAGACTTAAGGAGTTTGGTCGTGTTCAATGAACTATCACGGCTAGATTAATGAACAGTACGGTTTGTTAAAGCAACAGGAGTACAGGTTCTTTTGGATTGCCGGTGATAAATACAGGCTGCAAAGCACGTCCAAATAACATGGTTGACTACAAGCACACTGAATTACGGAAAAATTCTATAGAGGTTTCTAAGTTTCCCGGGGAAGCACTCGGTATAACCAAGGGTTCAAGTCTTACCCAATAGGCGTCCCTTTGCTGGGGGAGAGACGTTCATCCCGTTGCCTGATCCCAGAAGTCAGCGATGTCCTCCTGACTCGTCCATGATGGTGTCTTCCCTAACATTCCTCCTCCCTTAAGCCCTTTTATACTATTTTCTTATTTTAAGGTGGAGCTTGAGTGACTCTAGTCATGCATACCTTTATTATAATTGGTGTAAAATGGCCTCACTTTACTTTTAAAGGTACACGCTAGAGAAAATTCAGAGCGCATGCTCAGTGAGGGGTGGTCACACCTTGGAGGCAGGTAGTTTTTGGGACGGAGGTGTGTTTTGGTATTATGATGAGATTATAATGAGCGAAGTTCACCCAGAGGACATGATTTTGCATGTTACCACTCTGGAACAGGGCGCTTACGATATAAATCAGAAGTAGGGCAGTAGGTTGACAGGACCCCCATTATTTCACATAAAAGTATGTTTTGATAAGTATTTTTCTTTTTTTTCTGTACCCATTTGTCTTATAACTGCACAAACCAATGTGAAGTGCACTACATTGCACAGCACCTCATTGTATTATTTCATTAATATGAAATTTGTTGGTTGCACTTGCCTGGATATAAATGAGTTTGCCTTAGCAGAAAACTGTGAAATAATATCCAACCAAGGCCTTAGCTTACCAGTGAAAAAATAAAACCAATATATTGAAGTATTTATGCTGATATTCTTTATTTCTCTGAAGAACGGAAGCAAGATATACCCTGTGATTGCACCCAGTTATGTTACCGAGGAAGTAATTATTTTGGTAAATAGAAAAATCATGCTTCTAATTAATCTAGTTGTTACAGTGCAACATGTATGCGTAGGCCAAGCTTACAGACGAACATACGGCCTGAGATACAGCTAATTGAAGAGAGCTAATAGTGGATCTGATCTGTATGTGTTAAATAGTTTTTTTTCTGTTTCACATCACACAGAATAGCAAGCAGAGATCAGTTCAGACACCTCACTGCAGTTGTTGCTTTGTCAATATGGCAACACATATCGCCGCACCAGGATCTGGCCATGAGGATGAGTACCATACCACCCCTTGTCCAGTTCACAGTTGGACAGCAGCTGATTACACTGGGTGGAAAGGAGGAAATTCTCCTGTTCTCTCCTTTTTCCACATTTCCCAGATTTATCCTAGGCCTTTTTGGCTACGGCTACATTAGCACATCATTTGATACAAACGGAGCAGGTCACCACATAAAAAGTTCTGGGGCTCTTTGCATCTCCATCGGACAGAATCTGAGGTTTTCCTGGACTGGATTTAGTCTGGCCGCCCCGGTGAAATGTCTCCCCTGCAGGTCATTCTGAAATTTTTTGAAGGAAAACTTTCACATTAACCTGTTTGCTTGACTGAGGGCCTCTCGGCAAGATCCCCTAGGAAGCACCCCACTGTTCTTCTGCCCTTTTCACACAAATGCTAGTACCACATCAGCGCCTCCACCATCTGGCCCACAGCCCTGCACCACTACCGTGGCTATTCCCCAAGAGCAGACAGTGCCTGCGCCCAGTTAATCATTGCAGAACGGATTCCCACACAAATTTAACGTGCCCTTTCTTGCCAGTCCTCTCATACCTGGCAGCATCAGGTTTGCAACTTCCCGATCCTGCCCCTCAGTTGTCCTGCTGCCAGAGAAATTCCTTGCCATCTCACAGCACAGGTTTACAAGAAGTCTTGTTCCCTTGGGATCCCAGGCTGCACCTCACTGGATTTTCCATGAGGCTGTGGGAGTAAAAGTTACTGTAGCTGAAGGTGGTAACTGAAAACAAATGCTAATAAAGAAAAGGGTGATAATAGGGACGAGGGACTTAGCTAGGGGGAATGACAGGCAAAAGGTAGAGCCCACAAGATAATGGAAAGGATTATTAATTAAATTAGGAATGAGATATAGCTTTAGCACAAGGAATACGATTAATTTTTGAACCCTGTATAATTATTTAGGCACCAAATTCGTTCTTAAATTTTAGATGCTGAAATGTCCAAATTTCCTATGCTGTCCATGAAGAGGTTTTTTTGGGTCTCCGCAGCCAAACCGCGTTTGCACAAGTCATTTGCTCCCCCCAGTGGTCTTTGTTCATACTCTCGATTCTTCAGAGAACTAAAAGGCATTTATTTTAGGGAAACTTCCACAGGCAGCTAAAAAGTCT